TCATACCTACTCCAACAAAACCACACCTCCTAATAGTGTCATTCCCTATGAACTTACAAGGGCCAGTTACATTCAAACTACAGCAGTGGCTCATAGCCATCTGTAATTCTCTATTCAGTGCTCTCTTTTGAATTCCACAGGTTCCTGCACGCATGTAGTACACATATGTTCATCTGGGCCTATACATATTTACATAAAATAATTTTAACTTTTTCCTTTATCTTATTCATGTGTATGTTCTCTCTGAACATATGTGTGTGCATTACTTCCATGTTTGGTGTGCCCTGGGGCTGGAGTTATAGATGGCTGTGAGCTACCAGGTGGGTGCTAGGAACCTGATTTCTCTGGAAGAGAAAAGCAGCCAGTGTACTTATCTTCTGAGCCACCTCTACGGGGTTTCTCTGTACTGCTTTGGAGACCATCTTGGCACTCACTCTGTAGACCAGGCTGGCCTCAAATTCACAGAGATTCACCTACCTCTGCCTCCTAAGTCCTGGGACTAAAGGCGTGCGCCACCAACACCCGGCCCAATAAATAATTTTTAAAATTTAAAGCTATCAGACTAGGGCTGGATGTGGTGGGCAAGCCTTTAATTACGGCACTTGGAGAGGCAGAGGTAGGTGACTCTCTGTGAGTTTGAGGCCTACCTGGTCTATGTGGTGAGTTCTAGGACAGCCAGAGCTATACAGTGAGACCCTGTCTCAAAAAAAAACAAAACAAAACAAAAACAAAAACCAAACATATGTACACACACAAAAATAAAAGGGGATGGGGGCGATTAGAGCTCGGGTTGTAGATTGGTGGTGGTTTGTCTAGTATACTTGAGGTCTTGGGTTCATCCCCAACACTGGGGAGGAGGGTAGGAAAGAGGAAGAAGACAATAAGGAAAGCCTCTGTATGTAGCAGTTGGATGTGGTGGTGTGCCTATAGTTTCACTCACTTGGAAGGCTGAGGCAGAAGGATTGTTGGAGCTCAGGATTTAAGTTAGAGGCAGCCTGGGCAACACGGTGAAGACCTGTTATTTTTTTTTTTTTAAAAAAAAAGAAATGAAGGGTTTCCTGAACCAGTACATGTCCATGCAAACAGCTATGCCCCTAACTGAGGATAAATGAGTGCTCCTTTCCACTCACAGGGAATGCCTGGCTTTGCCACAGGTTGCAGCGGGCTCTGGGAATAGCTGCTGGGCATCCAAAACGACAATACTCCTCTTGGGCATGAGGTTTGCCTGTTCTAGGAGATTCTGGCCCTGCTTCCCCCCATGTGGTAAGGCAGAGCCTAGCCTGTGTTACCCGGGATTCCTGTGGGGTAACATAAAATCCACTAGCAATTCATAATTATTAAGTCATTCAAATTTCATATCCCATTTGAGTGCTAGCCACATCAGAGGGATTTTTAAAGAACAATGAAATGTCTCTGCATAAATGAATCATAATGGTTAAAGTGTACAAAAAAAAAATTACTGTGCCCCAGGGAATCCCTGGGTAAGCATTCAGTATTTATTCCCCAAACTCCAGGAGGTGGAGTTTGTTTCACAGATGAGGAAAACCTAGGTTCAAGGGGATTAAAACCTTTCTTGAGGGGCTGGAGCAGGGGCTCAGTGGTTAAGAGTGTGTACAGCTCTTGCAGCTGACCTGAGTTCAATTCCCAGCACTAATATCAGGTTAACTTCAGCTCCAGGGGTTTTGATGTTCTCTTCTGGCGGGCACTGGCACCCATGTAACACACACACACACACACAAATGAAAATATGAGCCTTCCATGAATACCATGAATTCCTTCCCCACCCCAAATGCCTTCAAGATTTAGCCTAAATACAAGATCCTTCAACATCCAGGCTCCTCTTCTAACCTTAGTTAATAGCCACCCTAGTCTCTTGGCAACAAAGCCCACATTCCCACATTTGGGCCTGTTCCTATTACCTTCATTCCACAATGTAGGTTCTGGGAGTCTCAGGTGATCACAGGAGTCTTCAACTTACTGAGCCATTTCAAAGGTCCTCATAGAAAGTTCTTAATGGACAAGGTGATGAAGTCAGATTTTTAAATATTTTTATGTATGGGGTGTTTTACCTAGTATATGTCTGGGCATATGCATGCCTGGTACCTAAGGAGGTCAGGAGAAGGTATCAAATTCCCTGGAACCAGAGTTATAAATGGTTTAGGAGCTGCTATGTATCCTGAGAATTGAACCTGGGTCCTCTGGGTGAGCAGCCAGAGTCTTAACATGTGAGCGATCTCTTTAACACCTACATCAGATTTTCTTGCCAGTGTTTGTGTTGAGAGGGTTGCTATGCTGAAGGCATGCTGTCTAACAGATCTAGAAGTAGTGTTTTGAAACATCCACTTAGAAGTCATAATCAATTACCTTTTCATGTCTTTGAATCTTAACATCTCTTCTAGTGAATGAGGTATAACACTTATTTTATAGTGTTGTCAGGGGAATGAGTTAACCTATGAAAATGGTCTACACATGGTAGGTGTTCAGTTAGCTGCTCTAGGATGCCTGAGTGTTGAGAAGTGTTGTACTTACTTTATGTGTATACAAGTGTTCTAACCATGGCTCCAGGGTCAGCTTTTTAAGAAATGATGAGCCCAGGACACGTGTTTTACCGCTGAACCACAGCCCTAGCTCCAAGGCTCATGCTTTTGGATGAGAGGAGAGAGCCCTCTCTCCATGACTTTGCTCTCTGAGCTTCTGCTGCTCGATTGCCTGAGGTCAGAATCTTATCTATACTTTAACATTATTTTGCCCAGTATCTATCTTGTTTGAAAGTGATAATGCTCACAAAATGCTTAGCAAGGGCCCAGCACATACTAATTACCTGACGTTTGTAGCAATTATTAAGATAAAAAAGGAAATTAGCTCAGAAAAGAATAACAATTAAGCAATTATCAATCTGCTATCAGCCTCGTGTAAATAAGAAGTCAAATCTTTCAGCTGGGAACAGAGTTTGATTGGGATAAAGAAGCCTGAGATCTCAGAACCGGAAATGAGAATCTGGGGGAACTGAAGGACCACCTGGGAATTTCCCCTGGAGTAACTGAAGCCTGAGGAGGAGTGGAAAATCCACACTTGAGGATGCCAAAGTAGGAAGTAGCTGCTGTGTCCTGGTCAGGAGATGGGGATGAGGCTTTCCTTTTCATGCTGGGAACCAAGGAGGCTCAGCCAGGTACAAGTGGTAGGGAACATGCCATCCTGGTGTTCTTTTATCCTTCTGGGAGCATCTGAAGCTCCTAGGAGTTGTCATGAATTAAGTATCCACTACATGTAAAGCTTAAAGAAAAAAGTAAAAGAAGAAAGAAAGAAAGAAAGGAAGAAAAGAAAAACCCAAGCAGGGCAGGGTGGTAGATGTCAGATGCCTGTAGTCCCAAGTAGAGGCAGGTCATCCTCAGGCACATAGGGAGTTGAAGCTACCCTGAGCAAGCTAACAAACAAACCCAGAAAACCCAATCAACACCCCAACCCCCAAACCCACCAATGTAGTAGGAATCAAAGAATCAGAACACAATATCCCCCCCCCCCTCCGCTTTTTGAGAAATGGTTTCTCTTTCTCTGTGTAGCTCTAGCTGTCCTGGAATTCACTCCATAGAACAGGCTGGCCTGAACGCACAGATCCATCTGCCTCTGCAACCCTACTCACAAGGATGGAATTAAAGGCATGTGCCACCACTGCCCAGAACACAGTCTTTTTTTTTCCCCCCAAGATAGAGTTTCTCTGTGTAACAGTCCTAGTCCCGAACTCGCTGTAGACAAGACTGGCCTCAAATTCACTGAGATACGCCTTCCTCTGCTTCCCATGGTTGGTGCTGGGATTAAAGGCATGCACCACCAACACTCTGCTCAGAATACAGTCTTAAGTGTATATGTTCATGTGTGTTCACAACCTCAGATGTTGCTCCCCCAGTGCTGTCCATCTTTTTATTTACATGATTTATTTATTTTTATTTCATTTGCATTGGCGTTTGCCTGCATGTATGTTTGTGTGAGAGTGCCAGATCTTGGAGTTAGAGACAGTTGTAAGCTACCATGTGGGTGCTGAGAATTGGAACTGGAATCCTCTGAACAACAGTCAATGGTTTTAACAGCTGAGCCATCTTTCCAGCTTCCAGCCTTTTATTTTCAGTCAGGGTCTCTCACTGACCTAGAACTCACCAGACAGAGTGGACCAGTTGGCCCGTGAGCCCTAGGGATCTGCTGGTCACCACCTCCTCGGTGTTGGAATTATAAACACAGCTCATCATGCTAGATTTTTGTAAGTAAATTCTGGGGACTGAACTTAGGTCCTCATGTTTGCAAGACAAGCAGTCTTTACCACTGAGGTATGTCTCAGATCCATTAATGTACCTTTGTCCATTCATTAGTCACATGGCCTTGGTGAAATCTGTCAGTTTTGAACCTCATATTTATGGCTTTTTTTGGGGGGGTGCCTCAGATTCTTCATTAGTAAGAATGGGTATTACCTATTTCTCGGGACTGTATGAGCTAATGAAATACTTTGTATCTTTATAGTTCGGAGATGCCTGTGTCTCCTTTTCAGTTGACGTTACTGTGTGCTGGGGACAAGTCTCCTATTGAGGGTGGCAGGTGTGGTGTGCAAAGTGTAGATGAGGGTGGGAGGAGCCTTATCAAGTGTCATCCCAGCGAAGGATGATGGGAAGCCCACTACAAGTTATGGCCAAAGGCCCCTCCAGTCTTGGGAAGCCTCGGGAAGACATCCACCTTACAGAACCCTGGTCAAAGTTGCTGATAAGGCAGATCCGTTTGCATCCTAGAAGGCAAGGTTCATCTCAGAGAAGGTGGAATCCAGATTTTGGATTCCCTTCATTTATTTCCAGCTGGGTGACCTTGGGGAAGTCCTTTTTTCCCCCTCTGGATCTCCTCTGCAAATGGGGCTCCTCGTTCCATTTCGCACTTAAGAGCATCCGAGGACGACGTGTCGACATAATGCCCGTGACTTGCGACGTCAAGTGCCGGCGAGTGGCATCTGTTATGTTAATAAGTCCCTGCGGCAGGCGGTTTTCTATCAGTAGCCTTGCGCTCCGGCTTAGCCGGTCCCTCTACAGAGACTCGGTTTCTCGCTCTGGCGCCTCTGGCAAGTCTCGGTGGACCTTGGCCTCGGGTGCCGTTACTATTGTTCTTCGAGGCTGGGCCGCAGGGGAGGGCTGCCTCTCTCTTCAAACCTCTCCTTTGGTCTCTCCCTCCGCCCGGCACCGTGCTGCGGAGAGCCTCAGCAGTCCCGGATCACCGATCTTTCCCGAGAAATAGAGTCAGCTCCAGCGGCTCTCCCGAACAGCGGCCGAAGACGCTCCCGAGAGCTCCCGAAGAACCCCGGCCGTTCGCTGTCTCCGGAAAGAACCGAAGGAGCTTTCTACCCTCGGCCTGCCGAGCCCTTCCGAAAAGGGACGAAAAGCTCCGAGCGGCCGTCCTGCCGGACTGCTGGAGGCGGCCGCAGCGCCATGTTGGATGCTCTGCTCGTTGAGTGAAGAAAATCCGTCCGCATCGCCCGAGCCCCGCTACCGAGAAGGGCGCCGCTTCCCCCGGGGAGGGGGACAGAGACCCCCCGCCGCCGGCCCATGAGGATATTGCCGTGAAAGGTCCGGTCTCTCCGCCTCCTGCCCCCGCCGGGTCCGGCCCCCCCCTCCCCGGGGTCGCGTTGTCACGGAGACCGGCAGCCGGTGGTGCTGGCCCGCGGGGCGGCTGCTGCTGCCGGCGGCGGCGGCGGCGGAGGCGGCGGCGGCGGCGGAGGGCGTGTGTGACCGGTCCCGGCCCCCTCCTCCTCCTCCTCCCAGCCTCCCCCCGGCCCCCCGCTCCCGCCGCCTCCCCGGGTCTGCCCCCATCCCGCCCCTCCGCTGCCCCCGGCCCCTGCACCCCGGCGCGCCCGGTCCCGCTCTGGGGGGGTTGGTGGCTTCGCTTTGCCATGAGTTTACCGCAGAAACCGGCTCTGAAATCAGGCTCAGCGGCTGCAGCAGGAACCGGACCCGGCACCGGAGCGGCGGCGGCAGCGGCGGCGGTACCGCCTCCTCACCCGGCGGCGGCGGCGGCAGCGGCGGCGGCAGCGGCGGCAGCGGCAGCGGCGGCCCCTCCTCACCCGAACATCAGGGCCCTCCAGACCCCGGCGCCCCAACAGTATCCTTTTCACCTTCCAGCAGTCCAGAACGACCCTTGGTGGGAGCCTCCTTGCCTGCCGCCACAGCCCAGCAAGGGAAGGGACGGGCAGCCGCTCATGCCCGCTGCTCCGGGCTTGGCCTGAGCTTTTGGGGTGCACCGGTGGCAGCATTTGCTGGGACCCCGGGACGCTCTGCCGTACCGTGAACAGTAGCTCCCTCGGGCCATGCTTCTGCAGCTCTTATGGTTCTGGGGGAGCCCTGCCCTTGAAGACCCCCTCCCCTTTATTGGGCAGAATTTACTGCTGGTGCTTGGGACTAGCCCTGCAGGCAGGGCTTTCCTGATTGTTGGGAGGCCCTGCCTTCCTGCGGGGCTCGGTGGCCTCTCTATTATTTAGATCCCACAGTAAACTTCATTGGTAAATTTCCCATTCGAAGCGAATCCGCTCGTTCCCGAGGTAAGTTGGGTTTTTTGCCTATAGTGCAAGTGTCCAAAAAATTACTCCTCCTGGCTAATTTATTTGTTTTTTTTTTAAGCAATTAGAGTTGTGTTGTGGTTTGTGGTGGATCCGGCTAAGGAGGAAATGCTACAGTGGACTCTTCCCTGTCTTTGACCTTTTTAAAGGAAGAGGAAGTTAACTCACATTACCCAGCACCCCCAGAAGTGTCACTTCTTCCAAGATTGGTGTTATGCTGAACATCTCCCCCCCTCCCCAAGGCGTGATGCCTGGAGGGTATCAGGGCTCCCGAGAAAGGGCAAGTTTCGAATGTTTTAATTTCGTGATGTTGAAGTTGGGACAGCTTTGATTGAAAAATCTTGGTGGCCAGGTGTTTTAGTCAGAATAAAACGTTGAATTCATGGCTCCCACGGAGCTGCAGCAAGGTATTTCTTTTCTTTTTTGTTCTGTGGATTTTTCAAGCCAGGGTTTTTTCTGTGTAGCTCTGGCTATAAACCAGGCTGGCTTCGAACTCAAGAGATTTGCCTGCCTCTGCCTCTGCTGGGATTAAAAGTGTGCGCCACCATCACCTTGGCAAGCAAGGTGTTTGTTATCTGAGAGTAACGTTTTATCATTCGTCCCTCCTCCCTACGTCTCTTGTACGTGTGTGAAAATCAGATGATTATTGGATGTCTGCTATGCTGTGACTTTTGAGTTTGTCACCCTGTTTTTGACTTTAGACATAGTCGAGGTGTTTGAGCTAGGCAGTCCTGCCGGTGAGGTCCGCAGACCATTTCAGTCTAGTTTGATTCTTGTCTGTATTGATTACTTTGAGAAGGGAAAAGCACTGTCCTCCTTGGGTCACCTCAGGTCATTGTTTTCTGTCGAGTGTCCTGGGGAGTGTCCTTTCTGTGTTGTCTCAGTGTTGGTAGGCCAGCCACATCTTTCAATGCTCCAGTGTGCTGTGTATACTGATTTCATAACACTTTGACCCTGCATGGTTCTGTTGAGTTAAGCGCTTACTGTTGAGAATGTTTAGTGTTTGGGGAAAGAAACGCAGTTACTTCTGACCCATATGCACAGCTGCTGGCCTGGGAAGGAGCAGGTTGGCTGTTCAGCCTGCTTCAGGGTGGAATTGGGTCGATGCAGTCACCGAGCTTCACTTCATACTTGGGAAGGAATTTGAAGTAATTTTAGGGTTGTTTTTCTTGATGGTCTGTGCTTGTAGGTTTCTGTCTCAGGACCTGCCACTTTTAGGGAGTTAAACCAGAGGAAGCACGTAGTATGTGCTCGGGACATACTGAATAGCAAGTGTTGTATCACAATGTTGTATGCGACAGCTTTTGGTAAAGTTGGTGGCTTCTTTGGAGACAAATCAGGGTGGTTTGAGTTCCCAAGTGTGCTTTTTTTTCCCATGTACTTCACAGTCTAAGGACTGGAAAAACTTGGAGCTGGTGACAGCTTGGAAGTAGTGACTGGTGCTTCGAGTTAACTTTTTTATCTTTTCTTTAAAATAGAAGATGCAGCCGTTAAAGATGAGTAAATTCAGGGTGCTCTTTCCAGAGATCATTTTAAATCCTCCCTGGCAATGTTGAATCCTACCGCGTTGCTTTAGGGTTGTGTTTTGCCCCACGTCATGGCAGTTGACATTTTACACTTGATGTAGTCTACAATTCCTACCTGTCACCTGGCAAGATTACATTGCTAAATTGTAAGCATTTATCTAGCTAGTAAGTGAAGCATAGGCTACAGGCTTCTCAGAGCACGTAGTGGTAAAATACTGTCACCTGGTAATGGAAGAGGTCAGAAATGGATTGAAGTAGAGCAATTCTACTTTTTGAACTAGATGGAATGGGGGACTTTGGGTTTGGTACAAGCATCATCAGTAATTTGGTGTTGCTCTTTCCGTGGTTTGAGTAGACCTCAAGTTCCTTGAAATTTATGGGTACAGTTGCTTGCTTCACATTAATTAGCTTAAGCAGTATATTTAAAAAAAAAAAAAAAAAAAAAGCACTGAAAGGGGTTGGTTGCATGGCCAGGTGTCCTCCATTTGTACCGGGTATTTAAGTGGCAATTGAAAACAAGGGATCTGAATGTAAACTTGAAGCTATTTCTAAGCAGGCATGAGTTTTGCACAGCAGCATCCTTGAACAGAGACTGCAAATGCAAAGAGTCAATGGATGGGTCCTGGCAGAGCGAGGTCTGGGGTGGCAGGGCTGGAAGGAGAAAAACCCTACCTAATGTGAAAAGTACCAGAAGCAAGGAGAATATGCTGGGAGTGTTTGGAACACAAGCCAGCTTGGGTGAAGCTGCAGTTTGGGAATATTTGTCTTGAGTGCTCAGCTCTCTGAGATTGTGATGGCTCTGTTGAGAATCTTGACAGTGCTCATCCTTTTTCTGGCCGGCAGAATAACTGACATTTTGATCAAAAGTGGTCCATATAGAGTTTCTGCTGAGATTCTTCAGGGCCTTCCCAGGTCTCCCATTAAATCTCAGCTCTTTAGATTGAGCCTGCCTGCAACACCGTTCAGAAAATTCTGGGTAAATGAACTTGAGTTAGGTGCCCAATTGAACAGAAGGGTTTTCCATATGTTAGGAATACAGTATTCTCTCTGTATGTGGGGACTTGAGGATGTGGCTCTTCTTGCTGTATTGTGGCAGCCAGTTACGAAAATAAGATGGGGGATTGGAGAGCTGGCTCTGTGGTTAAGAGCACAGTCTGCTCTTCCAGAATACACAGGTTCAGTTCTCGGCATCCACATGGCAGCTCATAACTAGTACTAGTAACTAGTTACAGGGGCTCCGACACCTTCACACAGACATACATGCTAGCAAAATATCAATGCACATAAAATAAAAATAAACAAGTCATCCTTTAAAAAAAAAAAGTGCTGATTATGCTGAGCTGTGCTGTTGTACACCTTTATCCCCCAGCACTCGGGGCAGAGGCAGGTGGATCTCTGAGTTTGAGGCCCATCTGGTCCACAGAGCTAGTTCCAGGACAGCCAGGGCTACACAGAGAAACCTTTTTTCAAAAACAAACAAATAAAAAAAAAAAAAAAAAAAGAAAACGAGACAGTAGGCCTCCCCAGGGACAGAACTAAGTGGCCATATGTGTCACCCAGAAGATGACCTGTGTCTCTAGCTCCTTTGTCATAATTTTTTGTCTTTGCTATATTCCTGTTGCTTTTTTTGTGCTTTTTGTTTTTTAAATTTTCTCCCCTCGACTTTGATTGTCTTTATGGAGTGAAGCTTGTAATTTTTTTTTTTTTTTTTTTTTTTTTTTTTTGCCTCTGATAACTAGATTTGGGTAATTTCCACTGCTCTAGAAGTCATATGTGCAAGAGTCTATTTAATTTTTCCAAGACTCCTAATAAGGTAGGTGTTATCTATTTTACAGACAAAGGTGATGTTTAGGGAAGTTAGGTACCTTTCCTGTGCCAGTGAAAGGTAGTGTGTGGGCAGACTAGTGAGCAAGGCTGAGGCCATGGTACCCTCTTCCTTGGCTAGGTCAGCAGCCTGCATGAAGGCTTGGGAGGAAGAATCAGTTTTCTCCTGTATTTGAGAGAAGCCATGTGAACCGATTAGAACACAGCCATGCTATCCAGGGTTTTAATTAGTTCACAGCCACATAACTGCTGGACAGGTATGCTGTCCTCCCCTCACTGAGCCTAACAGCATAGGGGCCCTCTGTTGCATTTAAATTAGCTCGTGTTTCTGCTTGTTCTGGAGTCAGCAAGGCCTCCAGCAAAATTCCACTGTTGGTAGCTGCTGGAATGCTGAGGCTGCTGTGGTGTTAAGCATATCTCCCATCCCAAGCCCCTCCATCCAGCAAATTGTCAAATCTTGAATGCTAGGAGACAGAGGCAGGCAGATCTTTGATTTGGAGATCAGCCAGGGCTGCACATGAGATCCTGTCTCAGACTAAGCTTTACAGATTTTTGAATGCATGTCCTCATAGGAGGGAGGGAAGAAGGTGGGGGGGGAGGTAGGAGGGGGGATGGGACAGGCAAATGCAAAATGGTAATGGAGGGAGAGTCCTCCCCAGGTGCTTGAGCCTTGGCCTAGCTTCTGCTGCCTTCAGTGGGTTGACTAGTTATAGAGGGATGGGTGTTGGTCAGACTCAGTTTAGGCCACCTCAGCACTAATAGGTTGCTGTTCTTTATATTGATGTTTCCATTGAGAGAGAGAGACTCTTTAAAAAAACAATTATAAATGGTGTTTAACGTGTCATGGTGAGAACATCTTGCTTGTCTCTGGAGGCTTCAGTGTGAATTTATGAATTTACTTTTTTGTTTTATCATCTCCTGTGTTCCAAACTGGTGCTTGGTCTAGGGTTGTGTTGTGTGCCATGTTTTATTCTCTTGGTCCCTTATTCTTTTTTGAATGTTTTTTGGGGGGGCCCACTACCCAGCTCCCAAATAAATCACACATGGAGGCATTAGCTTGCTTTGTTTTTTGCAAGCCTGCCTTCCTTCCTTCCTTCCTTCTTTTTTTTTTTTTTTTTTTTGAAACAGGGTTTTTCTGTATTGCTTTGGAGCCTGTCCTGGAACTAGCTCTGTAGACCAGGCTGGCCTCAAACTCA